TTTCTGCTTCACATCGCGTTCGGAACGAGAATGAAAGCGAAAAGTTCACGGATATTCCAACAGAATAACGACAGGATTCCGGCAGATAGATTAGATAGATCAAAGCACTGTTGCTGCTCAATAACAAGGTCGTATTTGCAACGTCAATAACTTATTTCTTATCTCCCAAAATTTAAATTCATTTATATATTGCATTACATGTGACTTAAAAACCAACAATTTTAATAACTAAACTAAACTTACGATGAAAGGTTGAAGGCATTGAAACTCATCACTTTAAAAGAACGTAGAGAACGTAGAGACTTGATAGAAGTATATAAAATATTGTATGGACATAAAGACATCAAAAATTTCAACAAAGAGTTACATCAATATTTTCTTATCACACACTTAAAAGGATATCGAGTAATGACATCCACAAAACCATGTCATTACCAGACCAATACATTATAAATATATTATAAATATATAAAAAGGAAATGATCTTATAATGATAACATACGAACTTAACATGACAATTTAGAGATATAATGAGTTTAGAAAAAATCACATATCCAGTTGGTGGACCATCTTAAGTCCAGTATTCTTGTCTGTTATATAATCAGATAGCTTATAATAAGCTTTTTAATGAGTATTATTTTAAAAGTAGATTTAAATTTGTATTGTTGTATTTTTCTTGGGACCTTTTTGTGGAAGCGCACACAAAGACCGCTGAATGAATTATTAACTTTTTGCAGTCTGTTGATAAGTACCGTTAATTAATTATTTTATTAAAATCGTATTTTTTTATTTACTTTGTTTCAAGGTACATCACTTTTTATACAAAACAAACGAATATTTTTACGCACGTAAATTCAGTTCTCATATACGAGTATCTTTACGAGTATTGAGATGCAACAGTCATTACTTCTATATCTCTAAAGTATTCTCTTAAATAGTCACCAACTCTGAGATTATAAGTTAATCTAACAGCTCTCTGCTCAAGAATAATGAAATCACGCAAAAGACACACAGACTACATCAGTTATTGCAACTGTCTGCCTATCTTTAATAATAAAATTCACATGTACCTTGACAGATATGACAATATGGAAGGAAGACCAACAAACATTCTCTGGAATAGTTACATTTTATATATTTTACAGACCAACGCGTTGTTTGAAATAAAATTGGCAAGGATTTGGTTCGTTTCGGATGGCCCGTTCAGATAGATTCACTAACATGTGTTAACTTATTGACCGTTTACTCTTTTGTAAATAAACATTATAGTGTTTTATTTATATTATTTTTTATTTGTCTCTTTATTGTGAAACAAGTATACAGAAAATAAATACAATATATATTTACAATATACAATATATAAGTATACTATTTTGATGCGAACTTGTATTGATTAGAACTGTCAATTATGAATAAAATATTAAGAACAGCCAACAACTCAAATATTTGCGTTTTATCTAATTTTAGCTTATATGTACTCATATCATAAAAAGGTATAGTTTCTAACTTTTATGGAGAAACACTGATCCAATCATGAAAATTATTTCACCCACCGGAAGCTATATCGCACAAGGGAGACATAGGCTATAATTTTAGCAGGCGAAGTCATAGAAAAGCAGCTAGCGGTTAATAAAGTAACCGAGCCCTAGTTTTAGATTATTTTATAAATATTGCTTACCTGTAAAAATGTGTAATCCATCCTGTACAAAGCATCACAGTAAACTACTAAAACGTTTGAAGAATTCACTATAGTATTTTCACCACGTGTATTATCTTCATTTCTGTCATCGTTAACCACCACACCATTTTCGATGAAATTAATCCCACCATTGGCATTGCTAGGTGAAACTGTCAACGTGACAGGTCTATTGACCTTGTTCCTTGGATTCCTCAATGAAGTGAGTTTGCTTCGAACTGTTTCAGCACCAGCAAAATGTAGACCACCAACTGGATGTATTGCATAATGTGGTGGTATATCGTTATCCTGTAGAAGATTTATTAATATTGTAATTACGACCTCTATAGCTAAATAGTTCGCATACCGGTTTAAAGGCGTTATCATCTCTGAAGTTCCGATCTGGTCGGTAGGTCTAGTCAGGGTATAAAAAGGACTTTTCTATATTCTAGTACTGAGGATAAATATAAAAAGAAAATCTGGCTTAAACCACGGTCTTAATTTTGAATGACGTAAAGTCTAAGCTTTCATTACAGTGCTGCGCAATTTATTTATTCATTAAAAATTGCACGCATAAATTGGAATAGGTTAATTCCAATTTTTGCGTGCAATTTTTCCACGCCCCTTCGAAAATTGTTATCAATTTCATTATTTTTTCTCAAATTATGGCCATAATCTTCTTTATCACGACCTAATATTTGTGTTAAAAAAATAATTAACAAAGTCAAAATCAAAATAAACTTTATTCAAAAGACTTCTTTAAAGTACTTTTGAAACGTCCAAGGTTTTCTTCTCTACCACTCGTTCAGGCATCTTTGGGCTGATAAGAAGAACGAGCAAGAAACTCACCAGCTCTATTGGGAGTAATGACGTTCACAGAAACCATGTAATTATCAGATCAATACATTATAAATAGACACGATCTCTAGTCACAATTTCCCATTATTCTTTTCAGATATCAAAATAAGATTCAAAAATAGTAGATATACATAAGGCCAAATATGTATACTCGTTGCGCTCCAAAGATAAAGTCCCAAAAGAAAACTAATGCAAAGTTGAGAAAGGTTTCTCACAGTTACAACGTTCCAGCAATATGTTCAAATATTCCGTATGCGCTACGAATAGAACTAGCATTACCCTCTATGTTGTGTTGCCAACAGCCATTCAATAATACAATAAATTTACATTCGCTTGTGCTTTGGCAGCGGGTACAGCGTGATTGCTACTCGTTTCTTGCTTTTAAATTTCATGAAATGAAAGCGATTCTATGACCTATGAATAAACTAACGCTTACAAAAATTTCACTGTTCAAAATATTTGGCAGCTCGATGGCATAGTGGATAAGCGCCGCGGCCCGCGATCGTTGTTAATGAGCAACTATGAAAAGAACCGATCACGGGATAGGTGATCAAAAAAATATTATCTCGAGCTACTCCGTGCTTCAAAAGACATATTACCTCATTTATCCCGGCGGCAATTGCAGTCGTTAATACCCTCCAATTCGCATTGGGCCAGCGTGGAAGGTCATGGTCCTTAAACATCCATAAGGAAAACCTGAGCCCATGCAGTGGGAACGTAAACGGACCGACGATGATTACAAAAATTAAATAAGTTTGTAGATTAGGAAAAAATATTATTGCGAATACGTACGGCTATTATGTTTCATTAATTTATCACATAAGTACAAAGAATAATATATAAAGTAATGCATTATCCTACGACGACTTCAATAGCCGAGTGGTTGCCAGTTTTAAAGTGTTGCTATCTCTCGAGATCCTGGGATCGATTTCTGGTCGGGTCGATGTAGAAAATTGACTTTATTATATTAACCGTATAATAATTGTCCACATAATAAAGTCCCACTCATCTTGGAACCTGAGCAATGTATGTGATGTTGTCTTATATTTATTTATTCATTATTATTACAAATTTACTTACATCAACAAATTGTACATCTAACGGCGGTCGTGAATGGTAATAAAGTAGTAGCAAAACGTCTACTCCTACTCCACAGATCAGACCCACTTCAATACCTAGCGCCAAGCAGCAGATGAACGTTCCAAACAGTGGAATGAGGTCCAATCCTGTTTAATATAAGAACATTTACAGTGTATTATACTCTGATGCTGCACCACGACATCAAACATAATCGAAGTACGAGACGATCTGACAAATTAAGATTATTTGATGGGCTCAATGGCGCGGTGGTAGCGTTCCTACTATTGCGCCTAGAGTCGTGGGTTCGATCCCCACCCAGGACAAACATTTTTGTGATTAACAATTATGTCTGTTCTGTGTCTGGGTGTTTTCTATTTATATTATGTATATATTTGTATTCCCCCCATTGTTTCTGATATCCGTAACAAAAGTGCCTAAGCTACTTACTTCGGAGTCAGATCAATGTGTGTGATGTTGTTCGATATTTATTTATTTATTTTATTTCGTAAATGAGGGGAGATGGTAAATTTTCGCCCATTAACTTAAATGTTTCTAATCTATTAATCAGAAAATTAGACAAAACATACATACCTAAGTATCTAAGTTTGTTATAACAAGCCATTATACAACAATCCGAATTTTTTTAAATACTTGTCATTGCCGCTTTAAATCTGTAGGTCACCGATTTACATAAATATGGAACAAATAACTCAATCGGCAGAGTAGTTCTGGGGCAAATCAGCTGCGGTAAAAAGACGGACTTAAATACGAACGAAAAGAATAAGGTTTCATCTTTATTTGAGGTACGGAATCTTAAATAATACACGTTTCTATTTAAATTTAACATTATTCACAAAATATAATAAATCATCAAGAAACTACATTAGAAGTCATGCTGTTAATATTTTAGAAATACATTAAACTTTTTACTTGAAAAATAAAGTTTTAAATAAGTTAACAACATTTCTTTTTACATATTCTCTGAATTCCGTTAAGATTCAGAAGTTTTATCGGAAAACTAAGTGAAATTAACACGCCCGTCACGTTATAATATTTATAGTGACAGACGATGGCTATTTACGTGTCAAATACTTTTTTTCATTAATAACTAGCAAACCATTACAATAAAATGGACGTTGACTAATTTTGTTTTGCCTATCAGTCGGATAGATTATTAAAAAAATATTAAACACGTGTTTTTTTTTAATCAATCAATTACGACGACACATTGAGTTGTGCATGACGTCACATCTATGTACATTTTCTACATAGTTTTACAATTACTACTTTTCGTAGCGAGCTCCCGCTACTCAATTTTAAGTAAAATATGTATCTAATATTTTTCCTTTATTCTAACTAACGGACCAAATAGAATTTCTTTTTTTTTACCCAAGTACAGTACACATACCCAAACATCATTCCAAATGTAAAAAGTACAAAGTAACTGGCATTTTCATAAATTTTCACTATAATCATTAGGAGAAAAAGATGGAGTTTAAAATCCAGAAAATTTTATAAATAGACTCTAAATGTGTATTTGATATACTAGTAGTTTTCTCATAATTACTACTTTAATGATAATTAATAATAAATTATTTGAAACATTTTCTGAACATTATATTTGTCGAGCTTTCAGCATAAGGAACAATTAAAAATAACTATAATTTATCCGCTTATCTTTAGAAGAAAATCATATCAAACCAACTACTTTCAAATTAACGAAATATTTACAATTTTCAATCCCTTCACAAAAATCCAATTTTTAAATCTCCAGTCAACTTAGAAACACGAAATTTGATAAATGACTTAATTATTAACTCACAGCTGCCTCGTAATCCGTAGCAGTTAAAGAGATAACTGCTTACAACGTTGAGCGATTAAATTGGATCTCAACGGAATAATTTAGAAACCGCGACGCACCATTGTAAAACTTCTGGATTTGTCCGTTGTAATCTTTGTTGTGAATACAAGGGCTCTTATACATATACCTATATGAGTGTTGAATAAAATATAAGACTTTTTGTGTCTTTCTCCATTTTTTTAGAGTTACTTTTCTTTTAATACTTAGAAAATACGGTACGCAAAAAGAGCACCTCTTATGGATACAGTTGTCCAATCAGAGAGTTTGATGCAAGTGCATATTCTAAAAAGCTCCGTCGCGTCTTGTAAGATTGTCAACCGAGCATGGTAGATAGATTCTTTTGCCTTTTCATTCAAAGGTACAATCTGATTGAGATTGGTGAGTATTTCACTTCCATCGGTTTTTAAACGTTCCACTTTCAAGTTCAATATTAATTTCTTTATTTTTATCCGTCATGTCTAAACTTCAGACCTTTAGCACTTGAAGTGTACTTCATAAATAAAAGCTAAATAGGAGTAAAGAAACGACTTACTGCTAGTTTTCCATAAATTTTTAATGATGGCCACATCAACCATGTGTAAGACTGCACATATGATGACAGCTGCCAAAGCTGCTCGGGGTATGAAGTAGAAGTATGGAGTCAAGAGCACCAATGTCAATAATACAATTATACCTGGAAAAATAATTTATATCAATATAATTAGGATAATAGTTAATAAATAAAACGATGAGACGCTTCTTTAGATGCTTATGGGTAATCATAATAACGAGAAATACGAACAATTCTTCGAACGAACTCCTTCAAGATCAAGATTAGTTTTATATATTTTCAGAACAATTTGGATCCATCTATCATTTGATGGCAATCTAATCGCAATTAATTTCTATATTATTAATGAGCAACTACAATTAAATTCAATAGTTGTTTTATTAAAATGAAGGCAGAAATATAAAACAAACTAAAATACATTCTATTAACTATGTAAAAACATCTTTAAATATATTCTATATTTTAATATGGTTCAAAACATCTGTTTTCTTATAAAAATTATCTATCTATCTTCACGCCGTATCCCATGCGTGGTAAGAAAAGACAGTACGCCTCAAAGTACGGTCCTTACTACATACATCTCTCTCTTCATCCATCCATTCCTCTAAACTCGTCAATTATGCCTATTGGAGGATGAAAGTACTAAAATATTTTTAAAATAATACAAAACATCTTAACACAGTTATAATTCACTCAACAAAACTATTACACAATGTCAGTCTATCGTGATCATACATTTACCATCAAAAATTTCAAGCAACCACGAAAAACTAAAACTTGAATGCGGTGGTGGTGTACAGCGAACTTTAGATTTATGGAGCAAAAGTACGGAGCGGGCTGTTACCGCGTACGTGAAAAATGATTTATATGGAAGTCGGCGCATTTGTCTCTGCTACTATTATAGTGATATATCTGATCACTATGGCTATACACTATCTATATGGCTTTGTACGGGAAACCCGTAGCATAGATTCCGATAAACTGATAAAACTGTAATATTCTTATAAAAAGGTATATTTGGAAGTTAATAAGACATATCAATTATAATGGTTATGAGATCGCGAGGTACACTTGATGTCGCTCATTGGATTAATTGAATAGCAAAACCTGCACTCCGAAACCGCATTTCAGATATTTTCGAAACTATTTGAATGAATGAATTATAAACATTAATTAAATTACAAATACACAGAAAATATTGTCAAAAAATTAACATTAAATTAACACATATAAAACTACAAATGTCTGTTTACTATAAATGTCTGTTTCCAAAAGGCAGAAGTTAACCAAATTCGGTCTGTCAATGTATAGAAAGCAGGTATTTTAAGTATCTAGACTAGCATTAAATATTTCTAAAAGTTGCGAAGCTCCATTATTTGAATATATATATGAGAAAAAAAAGAAGTACAGTAGCTTTCAGAATATCAAGTCCAGCATAGTCTAAAATAAAAAACAAGGAATTCTCCATCTTACTTAGTTTTAAAATCACGTATGTAGGAAACTTAGATAATGTGAACGTAGTCTGTAAGCCAACGAAAACCTTTTAAACTTCTCTGTGCATTAGTGAAGTGGGAAACTCTTGCTAACATAAAAGCAAAAACATTCCTTATCTTTGGACGTATTATTTCAGACGTAGAAATGAATAAATTCCTGCTAAAATTGTTAATAATAGTTTCGATAACTGAATACCATTATGTCTCGATAAATTTCATAGACTCTTTTTATATCTAGGTGTTTATTACTTAACAAGTTTCAAGAGCTTTTTAAATGCTCAAAAACATAAGTTTACTGAATATAAGTTTATTTGCTTTTTTTTTCTCAAAGTGTGCACCGTGGAAACATAGGACTCCTAAAAATATATATATAGTGGTCTGCGAAAATATAGATCGGAGACCAAATGATCGTAATTAAGGTAAATTATCTATGGAATTAATTATTAACAATAGTACCGAGTTTTAGGACTCCATAAATATTTGGTTTTTAAAAGAGATCCATGGTCCAAAAAGTTTGAGGACCGCTGTTAAGGAGGTTGCATTTCTTCAAGGCTTCATTTAAAACTCAAACAAAGAATTTAAAGCTACAGACACACAATTAATTAAACTGCCAGTTAAAATCCAAATAACCTTTATACACCGGATAACCTACAATCTTGAAGGGGCGCCAAATAACTTAATCAGAAGATAAATTGACGAGCTTCAAGTGTCAAAGTTTGTTGGGATCTAAACCATCGTCTTTGATTCAGCTGTTAAAATTGCTTTGATAATTGCCTGAGACATCATCAAACGCGAAACAAGCCCTCGACGTTGACAAAGTTAGAGACCCCATCGTCCAAACAATTGTCGAAACATAATAAGGGGAAATGTAACGGAATGTTACAAAGCAATTCTAGCGACGAGAGAGTCGTAAAAAGATTGTATTCGTTTTAGGATGTGATTTATCGTTTCAGTCGAAATTCTTTTCGAACGACATTATTTTTTATGTTGCAAATTTTGTTGGAGAATGCATGCTTAAGGGACTTCCTTCTTGAATTATGTAATAATATCATTTTATTAATCACGAGCTTTTCGCCAGTGGCTTCGTCTGCGTGGTTCCTAGGGAACTGTTTATTTGGATATTGGTTCATATCATGACACGGATATAATTACAGTGATAAATCGAATAGTAAACAATGGTTACTATGGTAACTTTTGATTCCATGTACTAACTTTATCTCTATTTTTTTTTGTATTCTTCCATTTATTTGCTGTTTTTCGGGATAAAATAGCCTATGTTCACTACATATAACGGTAGCTTCACGTAGGCGAAAGGATTTTTAAAATCGGTCGAGTAGTTTCAGAGCCTATTTTTATGCAAATAAACAAACATACATACATACAAACAAACAATCTTTCATCTTTATAATATTAGTATAGATTTGAACTACAGACAGTAGTCAATGTTTTAAGCAATTACAAGGATTTTAGGATCCACATTACTCAATTTACGGTAAATCTGAATTTTGGAAGCTGCGATTATTTTAAAACATTTATTTATATATTTACTGTTGAAACCAAATGACACTCTGACGAAAGTATCACTGATGAAAGTATTAAGTTTAAATATGATTAAAATTTTAATAAGTTATCGAACAGAACCTATAATAATAATAATGAAACCTTTTATATCCGAACATTTAATAAAAAAGTACTTTAGATCTACGAATATATAACATCTCTGCTCAGTGAGCCTTTAAGGTCTCCTCTTATGTCTTCTACTGAATAAGATCTACAGCTACTCTGAGCCAAAGAGGACCTAAGATCAGTCTTAAGTCATTCTCCTGTCTTCTCGTTTGGTGACCTCGGAATCTCGAACAGAAGTTGGATAGAATTAGGTACAGTGGTTCCCAACGTTTCATTACTGAACTTATAAGCTGTTAGGAAAACTGATTTACCCCAACCTTAAAAGAGTTATAATACAAATATTACAAGTAAAGACAAATATCTTTTAAATAAGTAACAGTTATTAGCGTTTTGCATCTATCTGTTTTTCAATGTTAAGTTTAGTTTCGCTTTAAGCGAACATTTTAAATCGTGTTCAACACTCAGATGATTTCATAATTATTTTATTAAATTTGGTCTTAATTATTAAGTTCTTTGTTAACCCAATGGAATAGCTGATTTACTCCGATGGGGATCTTTAAAATCATCATAAAACTAATTATTACTAAGCACTTACTGGTGTAAAATCCGGCTGCGGGTGTTTTAACACCCGAAGCGTCACTCACAGCACTTCTGGTGAACGAACCGTTCACTGGAAATGAACGGAAGAAAGCTCCCATCACATTGCAGACGCCTAAAGCCACGATCTCTTGAGTCGCATCCAATGTTCTACCTCTGGCTGGAAACAAAAATTCACTTTGAAATAAATATAAATACATAGTAAAGCACTTTTGAATCGTCTGACATTCAGGACGTCTATTGGCTGACATAAACTAGAAACTTACCAAGTTTTAATTGCAAATATTTTCTTAAACTTAGGTTCTAAGCAAATCAACATGAATGTTAACAAATTGAATTATGTACTCATTATTACGATACAAAAGCCATCGTGAAAACGAGACATTGTTTTTTGCGAATACCACCATCTCGCATCAACCACGGTAATTGACTTAGGCTTTAGGTACTTCTACCGTAAAAACGGCACCCTGGGGTGTAGTACCTTTACTGTACATTTCAAGTGGTTGTAACAATAAAATGTCGTTCACATAACAAGAACTTCAGTAGACAGTAAAATTATTGTAGTCCTTACATTTAGTACAGTCTATAAAAGAAAATAAAAGCAAAATATGTTTTAGACGTAGGTAACTGAAACTTAAATACTGGAAAATAAGGAAAAGAATGAAAACTGGTTAAACAATCCACCAGCATTAGATTAACCTGAGATGGGACTCAAACCCACGAACTTTCGTTCGAGTATAGTCCCTACTCAGGGTACAGAAAGCTGGTGGATATTTCATCATTTTCCATTAACGTGAACATAATTAAATTAACTAAAAAATAAAATCAACTTTAAATTCCAGTTTTCGTCCTCACTCTATTAACATTAACATTCCCATTATTGAGGCACTGACTTGAATATGAGTAACATCATACAGTCAGTAAAAACCATGACCACCACGTGGACCCGATGCAGGTTATTAGATACTAGGTGTTTTCGCGCGAGTTCGCTCGCGTATTTCCAGAGAAATTGTATCAGTATTTCCAAAGAATATTGTCTTACAAACAAGACAAAATTAGAAACTTTACCTCTTTACAATATTGATATAGATATATGCGGATCCAGCCACTGGCCTAATTGTTAAATTTCAACATGATAGTGATTTATGATATTAGGTAATGCTTAAAGTTGCAATCTCTTTCAGAACGAATGATGATTTTAATGATCAAACATGAAAAAAATTAATAACTTAAAGTAATATTTGCGTCTTTTTTTTATGGGATAGGGGGCAGACGAGCAGGCGGATCACCTGATGGTAAGTGATTACCGTCGCCCATGGACACCTGCAACACCGGAGGGGCTACAAGCGCGCTGCCGGCCTTGGAGGGAAGGGTTGAGGGGTAGAGGGAAGGGAATAGGGAGGGATTTGGGCCTCCGGTACCCTCACTCACACGACGAAACACATCGCAAGCGTTGCTTCACGTCGGTTTTCTGTGAGGCCGTGGTATCACTCCGGTCGAGCCGGCCCATTCATGCCGAAGCGTTATTAGCCATATTGTTCATTCAAAAACACATCGCGATTGCAGTCGCCGTGCTTGACCGTATAGTTGTTGAGTCAAGTTCATAAATAGCTTTCAAAAGTCAAATTGAAACAGATTGCGATATTTTGTAAATTAGACTAAGCTCGGAAGAGTTCGACATAAAAGTTTATTGTATTCTTTCTTTCTGAGCATGTTTCGTTCATTGTTGTAAATATTATATGAGGTTAAGGAACGGTTTAAAATTGCCGTTTTATTTTTATAGGTTCCTTGAATTGACACAGAATCTTCATGGATTGAGGTTTTCGAAAGAAACTTTATTCACGTAGTTTCTATGATGTTCTTCTTTTAAAACTATTTTGATTAAATCAATTCGTTAAAAAATAAACAATTTTGATATCCAGTACAAATCGGCAATTTCATGCTTTAACCCCTATTATATAGTCGATCTACATATATCTAAAGAAATAAATATATCTTTACTAATATTATATTATAAAGATTTAATCGTTTGTTTTTTTTTTTGTAATTATAAACGTAAGAATTTCTGCCAGAGTTTTATTTAATTCACTAAGAAGAAATTTTAAGCAGATCCAGATACGTCCGTAAAAATGTGGCTATCCATGTTGTTGGAACGATATATAAAACTTCTTGTTTAAAGCTTATTTAGTTTACGAAAAGCAAATAGTGGACGTTTACGAGATAAGCGCACTGGGAGTTGGATTATTGGAGGCGGATTATACTCAAGCTGGGCGTTAAGACAAAAAAAACGAAACGTAATCAATATGTAACTCGATTAGATTAGATAGGTAGGGATAATTATCCTCTATCCCTATCTATCTAATTGAGGATAACGCGACGACAACTTAATGAATTACTCTCAAACAATTTTGATATTTGCAAAAATACTCTTCCATATTTATGAATTTTCGCTATATAAAAGTATAAATATGACAAAAAATGGAAACAATTAGTGAACTTGAGTAATAACTGTGATGTTTTTTATCGAAAAAATTGACACTATTATTTTGATATACCTTTAAATTATGATATAATTATGCTATTGTTAATTGCAGATTTTTGCACGTTATTCGTTTGCACAAAACCAATTGAAAGTTAGTATTTATTGCTGGACTATGCAGTCTCAACTATAGAGAAGTGAATAAATAAATGTCTTTGCTATTTAGTATTAGTAAATTTTACATCTATTCAGGAGAGATGGAAAGTTGTATTTTTTAATGAACGATCAGATCACGAACAGCCGTGAAAGTAAGCTGCGTTTTATCACAAGTTTAAATTCTATATTTAAACTTGCGATAAAACGCAAGGAGTCATTATTCCATTGCATTTTAACCATTAAATTTTTAAACGACGTGATAGAGAATTGGAAAAAGTCCACGCAACATTGCCGATGCATAAAACTCTTGGATCGAAGCCAACGTTGCACCCCAGAGTTTAAATCGACCCAGTTATTGACTTTGTTAAATGTCATACGTTTGACAAACTTACTGTGTTTATTTTGAAAGCGTATTGATATAATTGATTAAAGTAGCCGAAACTATATTGTCAATAAAAACTATTATCTATATTTATTTGATTATTATGTTTCATTCACTGACGGACTAAGGGATGAGGCGGCGGAGGAAGCCTCTGGTCATTTTAAATATAAGGGGAAGAAACAACCCTCCTAACCCTAAAGAAGCTTTTATGCTGATAGGGTCACATTGAAGCACAATATGACACCATCGGCATAAAAGATTAGTATCAATAACACTTTATTTGTTAAAGATAGTAGAAATATTTATAGTTATAAACTGTTTTTGTGTCTGTTCATATATGTGGGAAAAATTTTAAATTACGAAAAAATAATAAAACATTTGATTGAAGACCCGACAGTGTCTTACATAATTGGATCAGAGGCATAAAAAGTTTCTGTAATAGACCGATTGCATAAACAATATTTAAAGTTATAAGTACGTCTAAAAATGAAACTTCTTAGCCGTAGAAAACAACTTCTTTCATCTTATTGTCAATTGTATTCACATTATAGCGACATTTTCGCCCGCAAGTATACTGCTGTAAACGACAAAAACATTGATGGTGTGCGCCGTATGATCAAAAAATAAAAAGGGGAATGAAGCAATAAAAATAGGCAATGTAAATTACGAACAAGCGGTCCTCGACAATACATATAACAATAGAATTTGTTAGATTTACAGACCTATATCAATTTATAAGAATTAATAACAGACGATACTCAAAATTTAGAACTGAAAGACCAGAAAAATCTCCAATTTACGGATAATTCCAAATAGCAGGAATTTAAATACAGATGAATTTAATGATTTCAAATAAAAACTTTAAAATCTTAAGTACTTCAAACCCACTTATATTTTATACCTAGCATAAAAATAAAAAATGTATTTACATGAATATAATTATAAATAGACAATAGGAAAGGCATAGACTTTTTAAATTATTTAATATAAAAATAACCGAGATTTTTCTTCAACTTCAAATTAAATCACGCTGAATTTTATCGAACCGGGAACACTTCAAATTATAAAAGTTCTTATTAGCAAAATACATTATTCTTCTGAGATAGCGAATTGATATGACCAAAATATATTTTGAACATTAAATATACATATTCTTAAAACAAACAGTTATCTGCTATGTAACTTGAAACAACTTCACAGCTACTTCATAATAAATGTTACAAAGTCCAGAAGCGTAATATCTTTAATCGCAGCTCTAATGTTTAATCGCACTTTGGAATACATACAAATTATCAACTTTATCAAATTGTTAACGCTCCCTTTAGCAGGCGTTCTGCTTGTTTAACTATTTAATGGACACTTGTTAAACTTTCCGTTGTGTGTGACTGCCTTTATAATTTCCACAAATAATTGATAAATTAAGCAATTAAGGTAAACTCCATTTTCTTATATACCATTATTTGAATAAAATTCAATTGCAATGTAGGCTACGGTTTTTTCGCTCACCAGATGGCGCGGCAGTCGCGAGAGGTCCTGTCAAAGTATGTTCACTACGAGATTGAACTTAAATCATACATCATAATACATAAATAAAACATTTCATTAAAAATATCGAATATACTGAATAAACACGAACTAACCTCTGATTTAGCTCTTCTTTCCTTGTGCTTAATTTTGCATTACCCTTCTTAGTTCCGGCTTTAAATCACTGACATTCATTGACCGGTAATTCATAATTGCTTTTATGAATCTCAGGTAAACCAAAATAAGCGTCAAAATTCGTTTATATGAAAATAAACGTGCGTAGTTTACCGACAATATATGATATTTGACATTTTGAAGACCTCACGCTACACTAGCGCCTCTAGTGGCAAATTCAAACGCGTTAGCCCTCATTGCATTTTATCAGATACCAACTATTCCTCATTGAACTGTTTTGTTTGATACCCATCTCATGAGAGATCTTAAAGATAACTAGTCCGTCATCTTAGATATTGGATTTAAAATGAAACTCTGTATTGTAAAAAATTTTTTTTCTTCTTTTAACGTGTGGGTCCCTAAAACCATATGTTATACGCTACAACAAGAATAATAATAAAATATCGTGGAGAATCGTTGATCGGATCATTAATCAGTAGCTCGTTGGCTCCATTTAGCGTTATTTCGTTCACTCATTCGATATCCCTCATTAATTCACCGGTTAGGTTTTAAAAGCGTTTGGACACTAATGACCGTTTATATAAATCTCGTAATTTATGGTTTCTTAATAAATTACCTCCGTTTCACAAATGGACCAAACTAATGGTTACAAAATCAATTTTCATAAATTAAAAAGGGAGCAAAATAGCGTTAGACGTTATTTGATAAAAATGTTAGCTATAACTGGGATGTAGCCTACAAATGAAAATACAAGTTTCTGTTATATTTCGGAAAATTTTATGTTTGTTGAAATTTTTGACATAAATAAATTATTATTACACTAGATTCATAAATAGTCCATTATGAAAACTTGAAAAAAAAAATTATAATATAACAATTTCATCATACGAATTATGATATTGATGTCAATGTTTTGTTGACATTGGATTGGAAATGTTAATCGTTCGATGGATAACCAAAATATTTGCTTATCGGTACTTCAGAAAGCACGACAAACCATTGGCCTCGATTGTAAATTTGCACTGGGCTTAAATGGTTGATTATGGTCCGTTCTTCCTGTTATTCTATCTAAATTAACTTAATTAATGTCTGTTAATCCTCTTGAGCTCAATTTAAGTAGCTCGATGGTATAGTGGATAAACGCCGCGGCCCGCGATCGTTGTTGTTAAGCGACTTTTGTAAAGGTGAGTGGGACAGGATGGGTGACCAAAAAAGATATCTCAAGCTACTCCGTGCTACGGAAGGCATGTTAAGCCGTTACTCTAGGCTGCATTTGCAGTCGTTAATATTCTCCAATCCGCATTACGTCAGCGTCATGGTCCATCCTTCATAAAGAGTCAAGCCCCTGCAGTGGGAACATAAAAAAGGAAGATGACGAATGCTCCTCAAGAACTCGATTACATACTGCGTCATGGGATGGGTCACCAAAAATGTATTATCACGAACTCCCCTATACTTCAAAAGTCTCGTAAATACGTTTCTTCCAGTTATAACTGCCATTAACACTCATTAACACTCATTAATCCGCACTGGGCCCGCGTGATGAGTCATAGGTCGATTTCGGTATTCAATTCGCTCCACCCATTAATGAAATCCTGTGCCCTAGCAATTAAGAAGCTGATGATTAATGCTCTCTTATCCCTACAATATGAATATACTATCAAATTTTTCTATTCATACATTTACCCAACTCAAAACACGTCAAAATAAACTCACCGAAAGCTTTGGCAATGGCGACATTAGAAATTATCCCGACAATAGGCACAACCAACAAACCAGAGCCGAGACGAGAGAACATATCCCCCGCTGTGAGAGTCGTATTACCAACGTTAGATGAAAATGGTGGCGCTTCAGGCGTCGGCAAACCAGGCGTTATGTTACCTGAAAACGGTGAAATAATTTTCGTGAACAATACTAATTTAACTTCTCAAGAAACCGAGTTCTGTTCGACTCCCTTAGGCGATGCAAATTAAGCAATTGTTTTTCTCCCCTTTCATAAATTCGAGACGAAAAAGTAATGCTGCCGCGCCGCCGACGTAATTCTAAGAAGAGTTTTTAATAGAATTTTAAAATTTCACTTTACTCCTGTGTTTAAGGATTGTAATTTAACATAATCTCACTTGGTAAATAGTCATTAAGCTGATAAATTAAAAGAAATTCTTGAATATAAAATTGTTCGACTAATATCTGAAACCTTTTAACCATGCCTCACATTTATTAACTTCGTTCGTGTAGAATAATAACTATATTCATAAAATATCATAGTTATGATTCAACACTAAATACGTAACTACAGATCAAATTGATACTCTCCAATTTTAATATGAACTTACCAGTTAATATTAATGGTTCATTTTTGTCTTGATGTACGAAGAATGCGAGTACAGCGGCCACGACCACCACTACCGCGTTCCTGCCAACTCCAGCGAACCAAAGTGTCCTTTGAAGAATAACTGCAGTCCGATTACCCTTCTCGTCTTGGGCGGCTTTGATATGAATGTCTTTCAATGCCTAAAACGTATAAATCTAAACTTTAACTTTAAAAAAGTTGAAAACTAAATAAAACTAGAATGTAATGAACTTTTAATATTGAGTATTGGCCCTTTTGTAGTAAATTGAATTACAATACTCCGACCGACTGTGCAGTACTCCTAATTTTCATGGGTATACTACAATGTAAGGTTCGGTTCATATCTGACGGAAAATGTGTCGCGTCTTGCCGGTTGCGGAACGTTAGAAATGAATATGCCATAAGAAATTCGACCTTGCACATTCAACGGAAGGTCCATCCTAACTAATGTATTAACACATATTTCCATGATAGACTTGAGTTACGTTCCTTATCCTATGTTAATGTACATCTATTTTTAAAACCTTTCCTTTCAATTTTACATTTGAAAGATATTCACGAACTTCACGTAACAACTATTTAACATGTGATTGCGATCATTAATAACACGTTAATTGGATTTGTTTAAGACAAGCGTTAGCGTTTGAAAACTATTGATATATTTAATACTAATTGCAATTTTTTGACGGATTTCACTAATTATATTATGTTATCTTTAATATATACTTTAAAAGTGACAAAGAAAATTCCTTTAACTGCTATTATAATAGCATCTTTGTAAAGGATTACGATAGATTTTGAAATTAAACAATTAACCCGTTGGTCTATCAACGAACATTATGCACGAGTAGAAAAATCTGCTTTATATTCTTTACTATTATGTTTGATTGAGTTCAATAACCTTGACATTAAATATTTCGTCGACTCGATTTCTATTGTATCGTGCTTGTATTTTGTGCTAGCACTTACAATTGGACGGTCACATCACATTTCCGCTGAACGAGATATATAGCAATTTCAACCTTATGAACGTAGAAACTGAAGAGGCTAATGTAATGGCAAAGTAATTGAATAAGCTTTTTGTTTCGGACGCAGTTTTCCTTGTATATTATTACGGACATTTAATTATTGTTATGTTCCGTAGCTGAAAATAAATAAGCTTTTGTATCAATGTTCTAGCAAAATGTTTCAATGTATTTCATTCTCAACGTTCTTATTTTTGGCCGTCAGCAAATATTGGAAAGCATCCGATCAGTTTCACAGCTATCCTTAAATATATCGTGGATATTTTATTTTCTTAAAATTTCCAGGAAAAATGCTACAAAGCACACTAGTTAAGTTATTGAAAATAATAAGTTTAATATTTTATACTTTTTTAATACAGAAACCGATCATAACTCTATAAAAAATTTCAGCATGAAGGCTACTCTTCGAATACAATTTCAAAAAGAAATCTCTGAGGTTCCGGAATCAATTGCCAGTCGGGTCAAATGATATAAACGCTTGTTATTTAAGTCTAAAAAAATGAGTTTATGCTTTAAAGACAAATATGTTTAATTTTGAAAAAAATGGGATATAGTTATAGTTATAAAATATAGGAAATTAGTTAAAAATCAATATAAAAAAACTTATTAAAAGTGTGTAGGATGATATATTTAATATTTCTACGCCAATATCAGTGCGAGCGTCCGATTCGCTCCTTGCCAATTTTTTGTACTAGTAATGATGATATGTGTTCAATTCAGGCTAAACACGTTTATACTGACTGTAGGTAAATAGATTATAGATCGAAGAACCTTGATTGATGGGTTCAACTCACTATTAATGAATGATTAATAAAAAATAATCTAAAGCGGTTTCACTATCTTAGAGTTTAACTTATTATAATTTACTTTTCTAATTATTCAAATAGGTATTTTTTGTAATCATTATTCAAATAAAGAAGAAAATTATCGAACATTAGGAAAGCCAATTCTGGGTAAAGATAATCTAACCCCTTCGTCAAATCCCATGATTAACATAACAGGGTTTGACACATGTCATTTCATAAATTTAACCTTTTAAGTTTACTTTTATTCTCCACAATTTCACCAATATTAATATTGACACACGACGTATAAGTCTGCCGACATCGGCTCTAATCTGTCATTATGTTTTTAATTACTCATCATAAGAAAAACAATGAATTCTATATCGAATATCTAAAAATTATGTTCATTAAAGACTAATCTTCTTTCTCACATGAAAATTTTGATCGAGTGACGAAACTAAGAGAGTTTTTAGTTTTAGTTAAACGGTAAACTTGTAACTCATACTGCCGTTTACTCGAAAACCATTCGATAACTAACATTTTAGTTTATCATGGTTTCCACTAGAGGCGCCGTTGTGAAATATATGGGAACAAAATATGACAAAGATAGTTTTTGAAAACGAATACTAAACGTAAGGGATCGCTGCGTGTTATTTCTTTTCACAAACGTGTAAAAGAGACATAATAAAGCTGTTAAGTTATGTAATTCTATTGAGTAATTCGATGCTTCATAAATTTTGACGTAAACAATATCGTAAACCCTATAGTAATCAAATAGTTTTCGTTGTAAGGAAAACTAAGCTATAGTTTTTAAAAGACGAACTCGTACTAGAGGTACAGAAGCAAATTATACAATTAAAGATATTAAGATTATTTTATTTCAATTTTCTTTAGAGAGAAGTTCAACTTAGTTGACAGCAATATGTTCTAAATAGGATCGTGTCGACGTCGCTGATAAAACGTGAAGAAAGAAAATAACTTTTACCCATCGGGTAAGGTAAAATTATGTTTGTTTAATATTCAATTTTACGTGCAATATCTATCAGAGTTTATGATAGAGATTTTGAACGCCTTTTTAACCAAGCTAAATTTTTTTATTAAAAACCTATACAGAACCACTTATATTTTCCCGCATACTAATAAACATTGGAAATTGTTTCGCCAGTTCTTCTCAAAAATGACTTCTTGGAATGTGATAGTTTATGGTAGTTACGGATAAATTAATAACGAAAAAAGTTTTGATTACATTCCAACCTGTATACTTTGAAATAACTATTAGTAAACTGACTATGATTAGCTCGGTGGCGTAGTGGATAAACGCCGCGGCCCGCGGTCGTTGTCGTTAAGCAACTTTCGCAAGGGTCGATCACGGGATGGGTGACCAAAAAAATATTATCTAGAGCTACTCCGTGCTTCTGAAGGCACGTTAAGCCGTTGGTCCCGGCTGCATTTGCAGTTGTTAATACCCTCCTATCCACATTGGGCTAGCGTGGAGAGTCATGGCCCATCCTCCTTAACCATCCATAAGGAAGGCCCGAGCCCCTGCAGAGGGGACGTAAAAGGGCTGGTGATGATGATGATGAATCTGACTATGTCGAGTATTATACCCACGTTATTACTAGTTACAAATAATATGACTGCCTGAATGTTGGCAATTGGAGTAATGCAAAGCTTGTGCTTCTACGTCTGATTGGATTCCGAAATGGCAATAATTAGCGCATATGACTTAGACTTAACTTAGAAATATTTGGATTTGCTCTTCAATACAAGCTAACAAAACAGGTGTATTTCTCTTCTTTTTTTAGTTCTCCAACAATGAATGATTTACGAGATGATCGGGCCGCATTTTCGAAGGTGTCGCCTGATATCCCAGATTCGATACCCGTTCGGGCCTTTTTGTTAGATTTCCATAATGCAAGGGCTTAAACTGACTTAACTGGAGACCTAAACAATGTCTGTACGTGACGTTATCTATTATTTGTTGTTCCGTTAGAAATAATAACTTTTAAACATACAGACTTAATTTTCAAATATTGATACTGATTTTGAGCTACGTTTATAATATGTCAAATTTGTTTTTTTTTTTTTGAGATGAGGGAATCAATTACAAGTCTTTAAAAACTTATTCCTACTATTTTTAAATCCTATTCATTGAAGTCAAAGGAAAGCTTTTGTGCAGAGGAAAATCTGAAAAATTAAAAGGAACCTTTTTCTTTGCCCATGCACAGTGAACTTCATGCCCGGCATGTGTAAGTTTATGTTATGAAGAATAAAATTCTGAATACTAAAATTAATCAAATATCAACCCCTTCTATTGGTATATTCTTCTAATGTCATGTAGAGACGAGAAAAATCTTAGCCTCATGAACCGTTACATTTACTAAAGTAGTATTTTCTTAATTGTTTATTAATAAGGATGATGAATAATGTATACAAGAAGTTTTTAATGCCTAGGAGGATTCACATGATGCGTTAGGTGTTTTCTGTGACCTATCCAAGGCATTTGATTGTGTTTTTCATGAAACATTGATTAGAAAACTTCATTATTATGGATTTAGAGATAATTCATTTAATTGTCTCATACTTAACTGACAGAGTACAGAGGGCAAAAGATCCCCTGGATCGAAAGTTAAGATGGGTGTTCCGCAGGGCTCAATTCTTGGTCCTTTCTTGTTTTTAATATATAAATGACTTGCCTTATTTCATAAGGGATGATCACGAAATAGTTTTGTTTGCGAATGAAACTTCACTTTTGTTTAAAATTAAAAGAGGGCTACCTCTAAATGACGATGTGAACAATTCTATCGCTAAAGTAGTACATTGTTTCAATGTAAATAATCTTCTCCTTAATGAAGGAAACAAAATGCCTAAAATTTGTACTACCTAATGTTGAAAAAGTAGATATAAACGTTAATATAAAAGATAAGAACATGGGCCTTGTGGATACCACAGTATTTTTGGGAATAACATTAGATTCAAAACTACAGTGGGGCCCACATATTGATAAATTGTCGAGTAGACTTAGCTCTGCAGCATATGCCGTAATTAAGATACGTAGGTTAACTGATATAGATACTGCCAGATTAGTATACTTCAGTTACTTTCATAGTGTGATGTCGTACGGAATCCTATTGTGGGAAAATGCTGCCGACATACAAACGATTTTTGTACTTCAGAAAAGAGCAATTAGATCAATTTATAATCTTAGTATTAGGGACTTTTTAAGGGAAAAATTTAAGGAAATAGGCATAATGACTGTTGCTTATCAATACATATACGAGAACTTAATGTAAGTTCGTAAAAATATTAGTTTGTTTTCTATAAAAAGTGATGTACACAATATTAATACAAGAAATAAAAATAAATTAACGGTGCCTGTCACTAGACTACAAAAAGTTAATAACTCATTCAGGGGTCTTTGTGTGCACTTCTACAATAAGGTCCCAAGCAAAATACAACAATTAGATATCATGCAGTTTAAATCTACTATTAAAATAATACTTATTAAAAAAGCTTACTATAAGGTATCCGATTATATAACAGATAAGAATGCTTGAACTTGAGATGATCCAACAACTGGATAGGTGATTACTTCTTAACTCATTATATATCAAAAATTATCTTGCTTCCATTATTATTAAAGGATTATGTTATAATCATTATAATACCATAGTTTCTTTTTTTTTCTCTCTTTATTTATAATGTATTGATCTGGTAATGACATGGTTTTTGTAAATGTCATTACTCCTATTAGAGCTGGTGAGTTTCTTGCTCGTTCTTCTTATCAGCCAAAAGACGTCCTGAACGAGCGGTAGGGAAAAAAATGTTGGACGATTCAAAAGTACTTTTAAGAAGTCTATTTGAATAAAGATTATTTGACTTGACTTGACTTTGACTTTACTAATATTATAAATAGCATGTAATAGTAATCTTCGGAAATACTCATCCGATAATGAAAATTCTTTTACCTATGGAAAACTAAATCTTAAGCTGGTTATATAGGCTATAATTTACGTAAACAAAGTCACGGGAAAACAGTTTGTGGATTAATACAATATTAAATATATTGACAATCCCGAATAAAGGTTTCTAAATATTAAATTTATCAGAATAACGTTGCGCTCATCTCTGGTATCATATTTATATAAAATAAAACAGCCAAATATTCAACAATGTTTATGCTACACGTTTAAATAACGTAAACGGTTACGTGAGTTTGCGTAAACAAACCGATGCTTGTGTAAATGAAACAACAAACAAACATAACGAATATTATTGATACTATTACATCACTATATAGGAAAAAAAACCTTAACAGTCCACAAATTTGAATATCATGTTTGGTACTGTTAGTTATAGTCACGTAATTCTCTCTTTTTTATCCTTCTATAATATTCAAGATAAAGTAGAAAAAAAAATTATAACATTAATTTTACTAATAAAGTGATATGAAATTTAAAAAAAGTTTTTTATTGTAAATATGTTATTTTGCGTACGCCATCTCACTATTTCCGATGCGAAAATTTTCTTATATCGTTATTTTTTCTAGTTTTTTAGGGTTTCTATAACCCTACGTCGTTGTTCGTTACTATAAAATACCGCTGTCCGTCCGCTTGTTACCAGGCTATATCTCATGACCCGAGATAGTAAGATAGTTGAAATTTTCATAGACGATGTGTTTCTGTTGCGGCTATTATATATACTAACAGAAAAACAGTATAAAAAATTTATTTTAAAACTACCATAAACGACTCCCATTTTGCGTTTTTCATAGACAACGTACGCACTTGACTTTGGCTTTGTTTTGTTGCGATGGTGTATAAATGGTTCTAAAATACCCAATTTTAGGTGTAAAGTCACAATTGTGTGTATAGGAAATTTTTTTACTGGCAAGATTTTGATAATATTAAGACAATGTTTTAACACTATGTAGTGCTAATGAGTTCGAAGAAACACATTTAACGCTGTATAAAGATATATTGCTAGTCCGAAGTTGTTACAATGTATCTCTTACAATTGATAAAGTGACCACATTTATAACTAAACCGCTAAATTAAAACATCAACATCGTTAATTAAATCACGCAGTATGATTTCGTTAGAGACCCCTTGTTTTCTTTATAATAAAATGTAAATCAAAATTCATTATAATTAGTTTACAACATATTACTACAACATATTACTATTAAATTACGTAATCTTAATTAGATAGTTATAATCTCTTAAAAAAACCTGGAACATATGATTGACAACACACCACGCAAGTATAAACTTAAAAAAAAAATATTTCAAAACCTAATTATAATGACGGATTATCATAAAAAAGTGATTATACTGAATGAACAAAAAATACATAACGTATTTTGTTTTTTACTTCGTTGATTTGGGGAAAAGCCCGAAACTAATCGTGCAATCATCGTGACGGGTATTAAATCTCTGACATTGTTATTGAAGATTTTTACTTAATGATAAATTCTCTACGCGATGTTACTTAAAGACTACGGTAACTTTTCATAGATCAGATCATATTCTTGTATTTAATCTTCGATCAACAATACAAAAAGATGCCCGGTTAGAGTCCCAAAGATGGCATAAGACATAACGACTCACTTCAAAGTGGGATCATGTTTTGATTTAGTTTGTTTGCGACGGCGTCAACGTTCGGACATATTACGAAATCACAGTGTATATTAAAACTACAAATATAACTATCGGAATAAAAAAATATCTGTTGGATTACCATATTTACGGGTTGTAAATAATCAAAGTATTTTCAATAAAATAACTGAGTTTTGTTACTGACCTAAGCCACGCGCCAACATGGCAGTCATTCAAATTAGAAGGCCAAATATTCGATGTTCTAAGACAGCGCATACATTAAGTAATGTTTCTATTAGATTCTTTTTACCAAAACTTCGAACAATAATTGAAAACCAACTTGGTGTAGTTGTTCGTGTTTTCGATTACACAGCCACGTGCATGAACATATAGGTTTGTATCGATCTTGGTGTTTTATAAGTATTTTGAGTATCTCTTACCAACAAAATTAATTATAGCAAAAGATGCATTCCCTGAAAGTGTCTTTAATCGGTGATTACCTGTTAATAGTTTTTAATAGAGATGAAGGTTGGAATATGGCATCGACTTCGGATCCAAAGTCAAAAAAAAACTCTACCCATACCACACACCGCAAAACCTTAAGTAACAGTTAGTTCTTTCTGTAAACATTATAGAGAGTACCTAATCACTTCCTTATTGGAGTTTGTTTCGCCAATTCATTGGTAGATGGACAGTATACTAGTATCGAAGATTATTTCGCTATAAATTGCCTTCTTAACATTGTAACGCAAAAGTCTTAAATTGTAATGTGTGCAAAGATAATATTTAAATTGTTATTTAAATTGAAACCCTCCCACCACCCTAAATTATCGACATGATTTCATACAGCGAAAAAATAAAGTGGATATGCCTCAAATCCCGAGATTAATTTTAAAGAGCAGAAAAAATCCCGTGATTTTTAAATAAAAAGTTATTTACTTTTACACAATTTAAACTACTGCACGCACGACGTTGTCAAACTTACATCAATGAAAGAAAGAAATAAAGAAAGAAGAAATAAATAAATAAAGAAATCCCGGGAAGGTCCACATTAATATCAACATTTCGATGCAAGTACATAAATAACTCTACCTAATTCCGACCTCTTATCATCACACTTAACAGATATATAGAAAAAAATGTAAAATTAAAAGAAAATTTTAATATTCTTCTAAATTTTATTGAAAACGCTTTTGATTAGTTCCACGTTTTTTACTTACCTACCAGACATCCTAAAAGGGTTTTCAAGACGTCTTTTTTCTAACAAGATAAATGAGCGCAAAAACTTTCAGCTCTTAATTCTCAAACTTATCAGCTCTTAATTCTTAAACTTATCAACCCTTTATTCCGGATTTAATTAATTAATTTATGCTCTTTGGTCATTGAAGTTACCTACTCTTAAATATTTCTTATTTACATTGCTAAACCACATATAAAAAGAGCTAACTCAGTGGCGTAGTTGATGAGCACCACAGCCCCTGATCGTTGTTGCTAAGCAACTTTCGCAAGGGTCGATCATGAGATGGGTGACTATAAAAATATTATCTCTCGCTGCTTTGGAACGCATGTTAAGCTGTTGGTCCCGGCGGCATTTGCAGTCGTTGATACCTTCCAATCCGCATTGGGCCAGCTTGGAGGGTTTTGACCCATACACCTTAACCATGGATAAGAAATGCCCCTGCAGTGAGCATGTAAATGACTGATAATGATAATATAAAAAGTAAATCAAATATCACACTCAAACACTCGTATCCATAGTAGTAAACTTTAGAAAATATCATAACTTGAGCAAATATATATGACACGAGAATTTGAATAAAGTAAGAACTGTATTGTCTAATAATAATAGTATTCTAACTTTTGTGCCTTCTTACTACATTCAAATTCTTCTTTAATAGGTGAAAATATTTACTTAAGTTACGAGAATATGTTCCCAAGTACCTAATTACTTCCCTCGACTATAGACATGAATGTCAGATTCCAAATAATGTCTAAATGCAAGAAACACGATCGCCCAATAAATTTTAGGCTTCCATGGCCCTTTGACTAACTACATCTGGAACTAAACCCTCAGAAATTATGATACTATGAACCTGGCCAGAGCCAATCGACAAAGTTTGTGATAAAATTTTTGTTGTCAGTATCAAATATGAAATCTACCCTATCATACCTTCATCCCAAGTAACACTATGCAGCATGCTAAGCTCAGTAATGTGTCCGACAGTCTGGTGTCCTGGATATGTCGAAACACACCTCTCCAGGTGCCCACGAAAGTCTCCGCACTAAATTTCAGACCCAGAATTCCTTTGATCTGTGAGGATGCAATAGTTATGGCAGCCGCTGATGTGAAACCTGATACCACAGGTAAGGAGACAAACTCCACAAGGAAACCTGGAAAGCAATTCGTGATTTAGATTAATTTATTATATCCTACGAGCGCTCATAACATTTACTAATGGGCAAAGTTTATTTAAAATATTAGCCTCATTTTTCATGGAAGATCTTCACTTCACTTTTCAGAAGCCAGGACCAACGGCTTAACGTACCTTCCGAAACACGGAAGAGTTCAAGAATAAAATTTGTTCAGCGATCCTATGACCGGCTATTGGAACCGTATCGCAAGCCGAGCGCGCTATTCACTTTGCCATCGAATTCCTTTCTACCAGCATATTGATATGTTTTTTAGAGCTTGATAACGTTATGGTCAGTCGTTGGGCCACCGATATCGCAATTAATCAAACTTTAAATTCTTGTGTCAAAATTTGTTTTATCTCAAGAGCTTTCACCAGAGCTATAGATTTTCTGCTGTATTCAGAGGTTAACATCCACCAATCCGCTTTAGGCCGGCTTCAGGTTATGATAAGAAAATTATATAGGTATTTATAAATAATCTCACCTAGCTGACAAACACCAGCGATCAATTGAACGATGCCTGCTATGAAACATAGCAAGACAGCGAAGTCCGGATTAGTGCCACTTGTATATGTGAAGGTAAGTAGTGACAAGAGAGCAGTTGGACCAATGTTGATTTGGGGGCACGTCCCGAGTACTGCATAGATAACACCACCGGTGAGAGATGCGTAAAGTCCATACTGAAAACATATTGAAATTACCATTATTCGACTATTGAATAAGTAAAGATCTTATTTTTACTAGTTTATTAGATCTTATTTTTATGTTTTTTTTAATATAAACAGGAAAGATTTGTTAATTTGTTTGCATCGAATAGGCACCGAAACTACTAGATTTTGAAAATGTATTCATCTACGGACAGCAAAAACTGGGAAACATCTATAATTTACGCGGATTTATCATATCATATAATGTCAAGGTCATGTCGTGTCGTGGCGAGCCGTGGCGTGTCGTGTCGTGTCATGTCGTGTCGTGTCGTGTCGTGTCTTTTCTTGTCGTATCTTGTCTTGCCATGTCATGACGTGCACTGATTAAATAAAGAAAAAAAACTTATTATAAACCAAAAGACATCAAATATAGCTTGGAGTTAACCATGAATTTCTCTTACCTACGAATATACTATTGATCAAAATTTATACAAAAATAATGATTATTAATGTTAAAGCATAAATTTCCTATTTATTTCAATAAAAACGTTAAACATAAAAACAAAATCACTATAAAATGCGATTTACCGGCCGTCCGATCTCAGTACCAAGCAAGGTACGAGTACATTCGAGCAAGCGTGAGCTTTCAAGTTTGATCACGTAATTATAATTTTTGTTGCTGTTTTCTTTATATGGACTTTATATAGCTTGTTGAATTATTTCTAATACACATTTCATTATTTTCAGGATTAGTCGAAAAGCCCATAAGAAAGTTAAAATATACATAGTTTGGTCATAGTTTCAACACAGTATTGTGAACTCGTGACCTTGAACAAGTTGTCGAGGACTCGGAACGCTTCAAAATACCTAATCTCACAGAACACGTTGAAAAAAATTTTTGCAATTATCTACATTCCATTACCCTGCTATTGCTTTCCTGTCAGCTTCTCTAGTGTCCACATATTAATATATTGAACAAGTTTTAATAACACATTTCCAACACTTTTCAAAAACTGTCTACCAGCTCTTGGACTAATAATAACTTCTTTCAATAATCTTACATTGAAAACAATTAATTGTTTTATTAACAGCTGTATTGTGTATATGCTACTACATTGTCTGTTATTATGGAGATGGCCAACCTAACGGAAAATGCATCCGAAACATTACACATTGAATATAATCGTGTACATTCATTACTATATAGTATAAGAGACCATTGATGAGCTATTAGCGCTAATTACTCGATAAATCTAATACCTGAATATTATAGTGGCGTGATTTAAAGCAATATGTCTACCCTTAGACAAACCATACATATATGTTTACTGTGTTCTCCTTTGTGAGTAATTGATATTTCAATGTCAAAGATTTTTAATTATCACCAGACACTATATAATTAGGGAATGCAATCTCGTGTTCGCGAGATCTCGGCCTTTTTATTGAGACTGATCTCGGTCTAAAAATGGGCGAAAATGACTTACTTTAAGTGCGGAAGCGTGAATTTATGCGAATCCAAAGTCGAGCGTAAATTCAAGGGGTAAAAATGCGAAGTTTTTATAATTTTACAGTACTTTTGTTTCCGAAAAGGTCTTCGAGCACAATAAGGAGAAAATAAGCAAACGATTCTTTGAACATTTTGTGCTTCCTAAGAAGCTACTTTCAATTTATTCGTAATAATGGCGTGTGAGATGAGCTGAACAAACCTTAAAATTTATATTATATTTTGTTAATTTTTTCTGTAATATGATTATATCTCTGAGTATACATAGTTTTATTTAATCGATAATAATATCTCTGTTTTTTATTATTTCAACTTACATACTTAATGAGTTTTATTTTAATTTTTGATTTATTGTAGTTTTATTTGATATTAGCAGAGGAGTTTGGTAGTTTTTTCATTTCGTATTTGATTACATGCTTCTAATGTTTAATACTTAAAACTGTAGTACCTGGATGACTAACCTAATTAAATCGATTTATCGCCCCTGCATAATAAATTTCATGAAAATTGTTAGAGCCGTTTCCAAAACTCAGATACAGAAATCGCTCATTTAAAAAGTAGTAGATAAAAAAATATGATTATGTCAAACAATGTTAAATTTATAAAATTTTATTAAAAATACCCGTAGCAATAAATTTTTATTTCATAACACTATAATTACTAATATTTTTTCTAATTTATTAAATTACAGTGATTATTCGCAGCAATAAACACACAAAAGAGCCAATCTCGCAAGATCTCTTAAATTGGCGAGATCTCGCGGTATTGATATTCATAAACTTGCGAGATATCGCCCAAGCCCCGATCTCGCGAAATTACATTCCCTATATACAATAATGTATACTACTGTTAAGCTATGTAGCATTGAAAAATTGCTTACTAATGTCCTTAATATTAATTTATCACTACCTCCTTATTTTATATTCCTATGTATGTTTTCATGCACAATTATAGGTGGGTACTTTCATTTCCACTTCAACCCGGAAAGGACGAAAAACACGAAAGATCAGGGTGTGCGACCGCCTAAACCTCTAGTAATGAGTCTTGTTATAGGATAAGACTTCTTAGCTCTATGTTCTATATTATAGATTTCGTTTCTATATTAATATATAACTACTATATTAATTATATGTATAAAAAGCATCATAATTAAAATAACTCATCCAAACGCTAATCGCTAAGCTGAGATAGATCACCTTATTTGTACAGCGTAAAATACACTGTACTAAATGAGGCGGTGTAGTGTGTACTTCGTATCGAATCTATATGTATAATCTTGGTTAACACTATATAAAGAAATGTAAAAAATAAATGATAAATCAATATGAAGATTTAAGTTGTTACGTACTAAGTTTTATATTTTCACTCATATGAAATTGTATTCATGTAAATTATATTTACCAGAAAAATGTTTTATGTATATTATGATACATATTATGAATTTATACCGAAGTCTCCTTTGATATAATTCATAATTCGTATTACGTATAATTTTATTATCATACACCAAAGCTTGAACATTCGTTTGTATATTTATTGCTTCTTATTATTAATTTTGAATTTTTTGAATAAAGGTTTAACAAATTCTGTTCTACTTAGGTGACAAAGAATTTTTATATCGAAACCATAGTACTGTGTTGGGTTCCTAATAATTTCGATAGCTTACAATGCTTGTGCCTTTTTAATAGACCAAAAAATCTTTTAATACAAGCTATTATCAACAAGGGATTATCTTGTAAATACAAATCTAACGAACCTAAAATCGATAGCTTTGCTTCGTTTACATAAATACCGAGACCCTATGGGTACCTTCGGCTTCATCATCAGGTCGGCTTCATTCCATATTAATATTGTTCTACATAGTCATCCAAATTTTAACTCTATGAATGAATGAAAAATGAATGAATAAATGAATGATAATGAATGAAAATATCTTTATTCAAGTAGGCTATTACAAGCACTTTTGAATCGTCCAAAAAAATTTTATTTCCCCTACCTGCAGCTTTGATATTTATCAATATTCTTAAATAAATATTATTGTATAAATATGTATAGACAAAAATTAATCACATGTTATTATAAATTAAACGAACTAACAAAGTGAAGTCATCTGTTTTTAGTTGCTTGAGACAACGACGTCCTGAACAAGTGTTCAGGACGTCTTTTAGCTGACAAGAAGAACAAGCGAAAGAAACTTACCAGCTTTTTATCATAAGTAATGACATTTACATAAATCATGTCATTACCAAAATAATATGTATTATCACAATAATAAATACAACTTTCAAAGTCTGAAGGACATAGGTTGAACATATAATTAGTCTTTATAGAACAAAGCGAAGGCTATCAATTACATGCATTGCGATCCTTAAAATAATCATCAACTTTATAAAAGCCTTTACTCATAAGTATATTCTTTACATGAATTTGAAATTTATTTATGGGTATCAAACAAAAGCCTGGAAATAAGTAAATAAGCTAAATAAAAATCAAAATCGGTTCATCTGTTCGGGAGCTATGCCACAGACAGGCACACAGAACACAGACACGTCAAACTTATAATACTCCGTCGTTTTTTCGTCGGGGGTTAAAAATCAAAACAAACCTTTAATCAAATTAGTGAAGTCAAGGACTATGAGCAAAATTATCACGTGATTACCACTGCATAATAAATAAACAAAGCAAAAACCACTTAATTCTAATTATTTATTGAAGATCTAAGATGCGAAATACATTAAGCAAATCGGCAATTATTTATAGAATTCGCAAGCGTTTTAAAATACGAATGAACGAAATTAAGATCGGTTTCAGTTGCGAAAACTCGTTTTTCTGTCGTAACCGTGACCTTTACTACGATTTCAAACAATTAGTATAACTTTCTATTATTCTATTTCCCTCCACCGAATGACGACAATAACCTTTTTGAGGAAGAAGTCACACAGAAAAAAAGAACAAAGTGGGTTTATATTGGTACTGGTTACACTAGCAGCTGTCGAGTGTATTAACATTGAAATCGCTTGGACAAAAGTTGATTTACCTCGGTTTACTTTGCATTATTATTAATTAAACCAATACGTATCTATATCTTGAAATGAAGTGACAGTCAATTAACGAGTTTCGAATATATTACAAACAAAAAATATCTCTGTGAGTGACTGATAGAGTAAAGCAAAATATAGTGTATATTCTTTTACGTGTTCTGCTTTGCATTGAAAGGTTACGAGTACAAATCCCGTCTAGATAACATTTCAATTATTTACTTATGAACTACTGTTTAATTAATGTCTTTATTAACAATGGAGTGCGCAGGGCGAATAGGCAAAAAAACTGCGGCTAACTATTTATTATTTAATATCTTTTAAATATGTTAGTACGATAAGACAGATACTGGATCAGAACATTTAAGTGTAAATGTTATGTAAGTTAACACAATAAATATTTCACCACTTGTAACGTGCCTTCTAAAACGATTAAGGTCACATGATATTAAAAGTTATAATAATAATCTTCTTTAATAAAACGCCATAAACTAGGTATACATACAGAGCCCATTCATAGACAGGAAACAATAGTATTCACTTTTAAACTATCGCGCTGCATTATTACACACTTATATTAACGGGTATAAGCCGCGATTTTATTATTATTAGCTAATAGTAGTAAAATGTACTAAGTGAATCGTTATAAACATGTGGCGAATCCCAGCGTGGTGGGTCATGGCTCATCCTTTTTTTTCGTAGGTATACGTATAATATTCGTAGAATACTTTATTTACTGTCCCTGCCACTTGACAAGCTACCCTCACTTTTGGGAGAAGGACGATGGGATCCAGCATGGTCTGCTCCATTCCCGGCCCCCTATTATGGCTCATATTCCTTAACCATCCGTACCTAAAGAAGACCTGAGCCCTTAAAATGGGAAAGTAAAAGGACTGATGATGATGAGTGTATTAGGTAATGCGTTACCTGTAGCTCCATATTAGTTATTCTTACAATCTGTTCTTGATAAATTACAGATACAGATTATACTTTAAAGCATTTATATTTTATAATAAAACGATGTAACATCTAATCTTCATATATCGACTGTATAGATAGATAAATAGTGAAATGTAATTGCGTAAATCCTATACACTTTCTCTTGATTATGCAACAAAGTTCACTGATATTTAATAAAGTCGTCTAAGCTAATACACTCAACATAAATTGCCAATGTCAGACACAAGTTACTCATTCAACGTGACAACAAAAGACGAACTTGATAATAAGGATAGGCACTAACAATCTAATACGTCAATCCCATTACTAAGATAGAAAGAAAATTACGTACAATTGTTCTAAGCCGATTACGAGAAAACAAGTGTGCGTTAGAATAAGAATTAAGATGGTCAACGAAATTCATCAAAATTATCGTCATTGAAATTTATATAAAGAAATTATTCAAATATATTTATTAGGTGTATATTATTTTTATTTCAAACGATAGCAAATGGATATTACTTAAAATAATTTTCTCATGGAACATTACATTTTATCAAAACGCATATTATTTTCGTGAAACTTCTGTCGCTTTCAAATATTCTAGTTAATATTATCATAAAAGATATAGACATTATGATTGATCCATATAAGCACAAATAACTAATAAAATTAACCTATAATTAGTTTTGTTAACCATCGTGTCGTCGTAAATTTATTATCACAGTCACGTAAGCTTGACTGGATCTTAAACTCCACTTAATTGCATACTTTTCATGATATTAGTACACAATGTATGTAGTAAAGGTAGTCCATCAGTCTCCTAGCAGACCTTTTCTTTGTTCGATGTATTATCTAAGGCTATGCAATTCATACAATCAAAATAAGGTACACTCACCTAAAATCGTTATATATCCTAAACTATTATTTAAATTGAAAAATGATAAAATAGGTCCCTTTTATCATTTAAGATAATTTTAAAATACCTATTCAACGACACCCCACTAGAAACAAACATACATACATACGACCCTCCTTTGCGTCGCGCAGTCGGGTAAAAAGGCTGTTTTTTTGTCCAATGGGATGCCGGAAACTTATAGTTTTGATCAGTGAATGGAGAAATGTAATTTAAATCTATTTCAATTTGGGTATTTGGCACTCAAGCAACTAAAAACAGATGACTTCACTTTGTTAGTTCGTTTAATTTATAAAAACATATGATTCATTTTTGTCTATACATATTTATACAATAACATTTACTTAGGAATATTGATAAATATCGAAGTACCAATAAAATTTATGATCATTATCTCCAAAGTAATAATCATCTTACCTGTGGCTCGAACCCGGCCAGCGAAGCGTAAGCAATAGATTGAGGAATCAATGTCAGTGCCACTGTGATACCGGCAATTAGGTCCCCAATGGCTGTCCGCGCGTCGTAGCTCCGAGACCAATGAACGATCGGGAACAATCCGCTGATCACTCGTTTCGGATCGATCTTCTTCATGCTACAATAGAGTTAATATACATATTTAAGGGTGGGCGTTGAGACAAAAAAGGAAACGAGGCCCAATCAACGCACCCTTCAATATAGAAGATAGTGTATTGCTGGTTAGAAAACATTTCTTATTAATTACTCACAAATATTATATTTGGGAGGAGCTCGTTGGCACAGTATTTAGCACTTTCGGTCTACTTACGCAAGGGCAGGTCATGGGATGTGTGACCAGGGTGCTTCAAAAGGAACATTGGGGCCTACAATGAATCATTAATAGACCGGTGACGATGATGAAACTATTACGATTAGTGTTAAAATACTCATTAAAACCCTGGACTACAAAGCGACTTACGTATTTAACAATTATCCCTATAAAAAGAGTATAATTACGTGAACAAATGGAAAAATTTATTCACGAAAATATAATCTATGTGATTTTTACTATGAAATAGAATATTTTGTAAACACATATTTTTGACTATGTTCAATACTGAAATAAGGCTGCTTTCTTATTTTAATTATAGCTGAACTGGAAGTTACTGGTTTATACATAACTAAATGTTAGAAGTGGTTTTCGCTATAGATGCATGCCTTCTTAAGGATTGAAGAACAGCCTCAATTGCATGCTAATTTGCTTCAGTTATTATAGGAAGAAATTTAAAGCGTTTTGTTGGCTATGAGGAGATTAATCAACTTTCGCAAAAGCCAATAGGATGGGTGACCAAAAATTTACTATCTCGATCTCCTTCAAAAGGCACGCAAAGCCGTTGTTTCATATATAGGTAGTTATAGATTAGCTATCAGTCTTCCCTAAGGATAAATAAATAAACGTTCGAAGCTTAATCTTTAATTCAGTACTTTACAATTAACCTGTTTCTAGAGTCATAAGCCTCTCTCATTTTTCTTGTCCAAAAGTAAAACCACCCATTCAAACACAAAAAAAGAAACATTAAAAACGGTCCACTATTCTTGAATATATTGTAGAACGTACAAAAAAACTATTCAGTGACATTTGCGATATCCTTTAAAATTATGGCAATATTGCTTTTGATACAATTAAAACACCACCAAAAAAATACGACAGTTTAAGTTAAATAACATTTCAAATGAAATAATAAAGCTTAAAATTTACTTAGATACTATACTAGAGATGAGGTTCAGCGAGAGAGGTTACCACTACTCGCAAATTAAATAAAAGTTTATAGACTTCAGGAACGCGGACGCTTTCGACTTGAGAATTTTAAACAAATACCAGTAAGTACTCGAGACGGTACTAGACAGTTTCAGGAAAGGATACAAATTCATTTTAAGTTATATCTAACCAAAGTAAAGATATACGGTATGTATGGATGTACTGTAAATAATTATAAAATTTTACATTGTTTGGATAGACTTGAAACTTAAGATTACATTTGAAAAATATTCAAACAGAAAGAAAAACATTAATTAGCGACTCGCTGTAAAGCTCTCATTTATAGTTTTATATTCTATTTAGGAATTTTCCAAGTACGTTAACTTCTTGTTTTTGTTTCTGAATATTAATAGTTCGTTCACCTTGCTATTATTTTTACTGTTTTCTGTTAATAAAATGCTAAGTTTTTAAAACTATTGTTATTAAAGTTTTTTTTACTTATTATATTTTATATACCTACTGTTCTCAATCTTAATTTAGAATTATGACATTATCAAGGCCCGGTATGTCCGTATAGGCAAATAGGCAAGTGCTTAGGGTGCTCGTATTTGGCGGTGGCATGACATGGTTATATTTGGTCCAATTATTTTAACCTTAAAAAAACTAATACCTTAAATATTAACTGTTGTTCATTGAACATGTGTCCATGACCACCAAAATAAAATACCACCTACATTCAAAAGTAGGAAATTTTCAGCTCAGCAGAACATTTTTACAAGTTTTTTGCACTCTCTTAGATCGGAGTACCCACGTTGGTATGTCATTTAGTTGTCATGTTTTTATAGGCATCGTTCCAATGTTTTGTTTAGGGCGTCAAGTTTCATTGAGCTGACTTTGGATATTTTTACCTTATTTTTGTTACAATTTAGGTATTAGGACTTTATTTGTTTTGTTCCCGATTAGTATCATGTAAATGATTTTCTTTGGTGTGACTAAACGAAACTAAATATTATGTTATGCTTCCAAAATATGATGTTCCTAACTCGATTTGAGTTGTGGGCATGCCTATCGTGCCAACAACGGTGAACTTTTGGATATAAACTCAAATATACTGTGATTTGCAACGAGAAAACTACATGTTGGTATTCCTTAGGTATCTAATCGAGTCAAAACAAGAATATATTTTACAATGGTTTTTACAGATGATGGCCTATAACGTGAAAAAGAAATTTTAAGTCCTAAAATGCTAAATCTGTCTCTATTTTTTTTATTGACTAAGTATGTTGATTCAGTCTCGTTTACTCATTGTCTTTATGAGCAGTCCTTACAAAACAACACTTACACGCTAATGCACACAATAATTTGAATGCGGACAAATCTAAAATTACAACGGTCATTATGTTTTTCTATTTTAGATGTACTGGATTAAGGTCATAACTATTATAATAACTGATTGAGCAAAAAGTTTACATAACGACAACGAGACAACAATATTCCAATCATTTCCTGTACATGCATATATAGTATTTAAATTATTGAATAACGAATTGTGCAATCCGTAATAAAAACACACAATCACTTCCTTGAAGTATTAAGAACAAGATTCTTAAATAACATAAAAAAAATACTAACTACTGTAATTTTAGTTTCTAATTCATAAATACTATGTATATATATATGAAATAATTTTTAAATTTCTAATTGAACAGATTCAATCCATAGGAAAGTTATGTGCTCTACCAGTGGGGACATTACTAGGCTGATGATGATGATCACAAATATATTTAAAACTAGCTGTGCCCGCAACTTCGTCTGCGTGGGAAGTATTTTGGTAGAATTCTATTATTCCTATGAATGGAGTCGAATCGAATAAGATCAACGGGCCATAACCCACTGTGCTTAATGCGGATCGGTGGGTGTTCACGTTGCTGATGCAGCCAGGACTAACGGCTTAACGTTCATTGTGCCAGTGCTGTGCACAGTGCTCAAGATAATAATATTTGGTCACCCATCCTGTCCTTACGAATGTAATTTTTCTATCTTTTTTCTCGTTTCTCGCGCTCTGGTTGTCGCTTGAATCTGAGAATTTTATTCGTACCTTGAAACTGTCCTTCTTTTGTTTTTGATATTTTTAAATGATTATTATTTGTCTAGTTGTATGCACGATCGGCTATTTATTGTTCTATTTTCCTTATAATGCTAGGTTGCCTGGAAGAAATAGCTTGCTAGCGATGAGTTTGTCGTTTGTACATAGTTATGTAAAATAAGTATTCAAGTATGTCCTTGTTTATTTCACTGCAATTTAAACCCATAGAACCTCTTATACCTAAGATATACTTATATTATAAAGACGAAAGATTTGGTTGTTTGTTTGTTTGCATCGAATTTGCCCCAAAACTACTGGACCGATAGTTTCAGAGCGATTCTACCTACGGTAAGCTACATCAAGGATGTCATAGGCTATAATTTTTCGGCAAAGTTGCGGGAAAACAGCTTAGTTCATTATACCTTGTGAAAACTTATCTGCGGTACGCCTGTGGAGTATGAAGGCAACACGGGTTGGCGTATAATCGAAACTACTTTCTCGATCTCTATTGTGTAAACTGCAAGCTTTTTCAGAGACCAAACGCATTTCTCTATCAATGGAAGTTTCATACTCATACCATACTGCATGTATATTACGGTTAGCAGTTAGACGCGCTATGCGATCTTCAGAAGTTTCCTGAGATCAAATGCTTGTTGTATGAGTTCTCCGAGAGCTCAAGAGATTGTCCCTGACGGTAAATGCTTCAGATTCAACTTTATAGTGCATGAGCCTCGCGATGGGTAGTTAAATACGCTTCGCGTTATTCAGGTGCTTCCCTAGACCAAACGCTTTCCGTCCAATCACTTTATTTGTCAATAAAAGTCGGTCAGTACATGTATGACGGAAGATAGGTGGAGTTTTATTTATTGATGATATAAAAAAAAATATATATATTTTAATTTCGACTTTCCACACTGAGCTTCCGTCAGATTTGAACGGCCCTCATCATCATCATCAGCCCTTTTAAGTCACCAACTGCAGGAGCCTTTTGTATTAAGAAGGATGGGCCACGGCCTTCCATGCTGGCCCAATGCGAACCAGGACCAATCGCTTTACGTGCCTTACTAAGCTTGGAGTTGCTTGAGATAATATTTTTTGGTCACCCATCCTGTGACCAACCTTTGTGAAAGTTGCTTAACAACTACAATCGCGAGCCATGGCGTTTATTCACTACGCCACTGAGCTACTCTGAACCGATCCTCAGACTCGCGTAATATTATATGTGTTGTGACAAATAAATAAACCATTGTTTCCGGCGAAGACTGAAAATACCAACTTTGAAGTACATATCTACAGCAAATTTGTATGTTAAAAAAAACAAAAGTAGTATTATTATTACATAAAAAATTGTAATAAGAGAGAAAAATATATACATCAATCGAGTTGTCTTTACCTTCTTAACTTCAGTTGACGTGAATCTAACTTTTTTAACGTCGTGGAAAAGCTTCTGACATTGTCTCTGCTACGGAGCAAGCGACAGGGGGTGAGTAGGATTCTCCTCCGTGAACCCGATAGTGAACTGCCCTCGGTGGCGTAGTGGATAAGCGCCGCAGCCCGCGATCGTTGTCGTTATGCAACTTTTGCACGGAATGGGTGACCAAAAAATTATTATCTCGAGCTACTCCGTGCTTCGGAAGGCACGTTAAGTCGTTGCTCCAATCCGCATTGGGCCAGCGTGGAAGGTCATGGCCCATCCTCCTTAACCATCCATAAGGAAGGCCTGAGGCCCTGCAGTGAGAACGTAAAAGGGCTGATGATGATGATGATGATGACACCGTCTCATGGGAGATGAAACCCGTCAAGCTATGGCCGCGTCACCAGAACACTCAAGTATTGGACTAGACATTGATCCTCTTGCAAATGGAAAATTGGAGAGGCTCGGGTAAATCGAGTGCCTCTCTCAGACAGACGAAACCGTGCAATGCGGGGGCTGCCAACCCCCTCCGCTGGCCCCGACGACGACGTGAACCTAATCTGATAAAAATATGCGTTTACTGTAAACTACTCGATGCTTAATTGCATCATCGGAAGGCTCTTTTCGCTTGTTCTCCTACTCGCGTGATCGTATACCACACGTCCATTATAACCTGAACCCTATTTAATATCATTGGCCATTTATAAATGAGGTCAACTTAATTTGGAGTTGTCAAAATTTTGGAATCTTTTTTATTTATTTTTTATCATACAAATTATCATTTTATAGACAATATAAATTCGTAGCTGGGTGGCGCTACGGATAAGCGCCACTGCGCACGATCGATATTGCTAAGCAATTTTCGCAAGAGTTGTTCACGGGATGGGTAACCAAAAATTATTAAACAAAGGCCTGAAGCCCTGCAGTTTGGCTGTCAAAGAGTAAATGATGATGATCAATATATCAAAGAAGAAAATTTAATAAAACAGTAAATATTTCATAGCAATTTTGGCCAACACGTTACTTCTAATTGACATAACTTTTTTATTTGGAACCGATTAAAATAAATCTCACACTAAATGTTAACGGAAGAATACCACAATATAATAGTGAAAACTGCATTTAAATCGACTCAGCCGTTTCTGAGATTATCGTGCATAAACGCACAGACAAACAGACAAAGATCGGTTACGCTTTTATTATAGTATAGATAGATATATTCGTTATTACTCATTTATTGTGAGTAATTTTAATAGCTGTTAAACTTTATCAGTAATTGCAAAATTATATAGAATCTTATAAAAATTTTATAGCAGCGGCGGACAGACTAAGGGGAGGCGGAAGGGGCATCTCTCAAAAGTTTAAATATGTATGCAAGCAATATCAAGTTTCTGCCCCAGTAGGAAAAAGTTGTCGATTCGGGTCTATTACCGCCCCGGGCCTCCGATGTTAGTCCGACACTGTTTAATAGGTAAAAGCAACATCGCTAGGCATAATAGAGTCAATTTATATTATACATATTCTGCTCACAACTTCAAGTGTGCGTTTTGTCTTTTGAATTTGTTAACTGAATTCAGAGATAAACCTCATTGGGTAGATATTCCTAGATGCCGCACAAAAACTATTCGTCATCGTTTTTACTTCGCACCGCCAAGGAATAGAACTCCCTACCGGTCCGGCGTCTATATTCCCGAGTGCATATTACCAAAACCAATTTAAGACAAGAGTTAATAGGTTCCTTCTGGGCAATTTTGTCCCACCGTACACCTCATTCATGTCCTTGGGTTGTATTGAGGTCAAGAGAGAGCTGTTTACGAATAAAAAATATAAAAAACGCGTTGACGTAATATATTCGGTTCCACGCGGTGTTCTGAGCAATTTTTGAAAAGCATACTTGATACAACTTTTCGTAACTAGTCCTGCTATCGAATGTAAAACTTTTGTAAGATATCAATGGAGATGTAGCGATTATTAGTTAATACAGATACATGGCAGGGTTTCTCGGTTTATACAAGCAAATTTGATATTTGGTTGTATCAATAATTACATCGTACCCGAAAAACTGACTTAAAAGTGAAAATCTCGAGTTTAACTGCAAATTAGACGAGTGTATAAAGTATCGAATAACATATGCATACTCGACCTCGTGTCTTTATAAATAAACATATGTATAACTGAATGTCTAGACTAAGAGACCCTAGAAGTTAATTATCAAGAATAACTCTTATAAATTTTTAACGCGGTCGGAAATCCTTGTTAAAATATGTATGTAAGAACCACAGGTAAGAACCAATAATTTTAACGAATTCGCATTTAATTTCACATAGAATATCTACAAAATATTAAACTAATTATCTATGCTATGACTTAAACTATATAGATAAATAATATCCCCCAAATAATTTCCAACAGATAGTGTGCCCAGAAGACTGCAAGCGTTTTCTCTTTGAATTGCCTAACTAATTCTTTGGGCGAGGTACAAAACAGCCTTCTGATCACCAGTTCTCTCAAAAAGTTTCTTTTTATCTCTTGATATAAACGATGGGCTACGGGGCCCCACGGCCCCATCGTTTCGACCCCAAACGGCTCAAATATGTAGTAGTAGATATTACTTATATCTGAATATTTTCACCATTTGAGGCTTTCTGCAACTATTGTTTCACCCGCCTCGAGAATGTCCGTGTAAGATGACTCGGCGCCAAGGTATCAACGCAGGTGGCATAGAATACTAGGTCAACCTATCCTCTAAGAAACGAATAACATCCCATTAGGTCTCTTCCTGTCGTCGCGAGTTAGCCCGTTCGAGTCTAGAATGGCTGGCACTGACGCCATGGCAAGAGTTCGACGAAGGATATCATTAATACTTGCACGTCGAGAAATGTAACCAGCACTTCTGCTGCACTATAAGCCGTGATAACCTAAACAGTCGCTTACATATTTAGTACAAAAGAAAATATCTGTTTCAATTTTTTCAAGTTACATAACACATGTTACATTTCCAAGATAGTTTATTTATTTAATGAAATGATTTTATCTTGAACTTATGATTCTTAATGATATTATATTTTACAAATAATTAAATACTCTATATTAAACTTACCAAACTTTTGTAGTAAAAATAAGTTTAAAAAAATTAAACATTACAAACGGGATTGTTTTCACTCATAGTTATCGAGTAATAAAGAGCTCGATAAAGATTTTAGTACCTACATAAATTATAGCAAAGGACTGACGTAGAAAAGACCATTCGTTTTGTAAGTAGGTACGATTTTTTTTTTTTAAGTTGGTAACCATTGTGATGCGTATTTTCATTCTTACTCAATGTTTATTTTTATATCATTTAGAATAAGACTTAAATTATGTGTGATCCAATAGAAAAATGTATTGAGTAGGTAGGTACTTCCTCTCGATAAAATATATAATATATGGATTTAAAATTTCATATGCGGCATCATTTCCATCGCCCTCTTTACTCACAATATGGGTATAACAATATATTTAATATATAAAAAAAATAAACCATATATGTACCCTGGACTCGTTGTCGTAATTATTTGGATCCCTACAGCAGACCTGGATCCGTGAAATATCAGAAATAATTGTTAGGATTTTACTAGTTTTAACTCACTACATATTTATTTAATATCAATCATTGTGTTGTCCGTAACAGAAGTTTGTTAATTGTCATAGAATAAAGACAATTTCATTACTTTTAGATAAGATCGGAAAGTCGAAACATCATCATCAGCCTGTTAATGTCCAGAATGCTGGGCTGCTCAGTCCTTCCCAATGGATGGAATCGGATCAAATCGGATAGGGAGAATGGTACATGATCCACCACTGGGCCGTGTTGATTGGTGGGTATTAACAACTGCAGATGCAGCTTGGATCAAAGATTTAGTTTGTCTTCCGAAACACGGAAGAGCTCGAAGATAATAAATTGTTGGTCACCCATCCTATGATATTTTTTACGTTTGACAATTGGGGAAATATCAAGCGGTAATTATTGATATACTATGATAATGTAAGGGACCAATGGAGTAACTCTGAGTGAAGATAGCGACTAATGTATCTAATGTAATTTATTATTCCACTATATTTATTTGGATACGATACAATATAAAATTATTTATTGTTGACATCACACAATTGATTGATACAATTTTATAGTAAATCAACACTATTATGTAACAATTGGCGGCCTTATCGCTTAAAGCGATTTATTCCAGGCAATGAGTGGATGGAGAGATATAACATGAATAATGAAGATGGGGGTGTTAATGTTAACAATATCATTGAGGCACACTAATTATTTATTTAACGTATGTCATTTTTAAACTATTGTCTTATTTTATTTATGTGTGATAAATTTTAATTAATTTGACAATTTATATTATTATATTTTTTGTAATGTGTGATAATTGTAATAAACGTATGTTGTCTTTATCACAATAATAATAAAAAATAATAATAAATAACAGGCAGTTAACCGAGCGCGATAACTACTGCACCATAGAGCTCCTCGAATCCATACACTGGCAAATTACCTGTATAGCAATCAAGGATTCAACTGTATACCTAGCCACCTTCATTCGCTAACATAGCTCTTATTGCAATAGCTCCATTTGAGTAATAGAAATCCCAAACTGTGTTTAATATCAGAATAAAATGACCTACACAATTCACTTCGTTTTGGTTCGATTATTAAAGCTCAGCTCGGATTTAATAATCGAACCAAAATTAAAGATTTTGTCGTCTCTAAAAACTTTGGTTATGTATTAAAGTCAAAGTTTAATATCATTGCATAAAGCAATGATATTAATATTTCATTGGATACAACTCTCAAAAATTAAGTTAATTTTGAATGAAAAACACCGTAACGAATATTTTCATAAGAAACTTACATTACAAACTCGTTAATAATCCGTTTATGACAATCAGTAAATCATCATCACTAAACGCGAACAATTAAAACACAAATTCACTGCAACAAAACCAAAAAGCACCAAATGCAAATTGTTACTCCAACTGTCAAACTTTCCCGCGTTTCGCGCCACAGCGAACGCGCATGCGCCACAAACTTTTTAACATGCGCATGGGACCACGGTGTAAAACTAACTGCCAGTATCAGTGCTAAACTGTCAATCTGAATAGCGATCTTGCAACCTGTTAATTTTTATTTTATTTTCCTTATCATTGTTGCTCTGTGCCTAGTTGAAGGATGTTTTTGACTAACATAGTGTTTTATTCATTACGTTTATCACTTTTTTTACTCACATTCGATAAATACACTTAATGATTAACTAACAAACTGTATTAAGCATCTGTATTGTGAAAATAAATGCGAAATCATTGTATGCTTATTTATTCAATAAAGCAATCAACATTATAATAATATTTGATCACCTCATGAGTTCCATTCACCTGCGTACAATATCAAAGTGATATTTCAAGGTACTCAAATAATAATTACCAGGAACTATGTACATAATAATCTACCTTTTTAATTTAACTACCTATCAAACATTGCTTTGACTATTTTTATTCCATTAATATTCTATGGATATTCATGGACTTCTGGAAAAAGAATTTAAACGATATCGATTAAACGAACGCTAATATATGTATATTAACGACGTCTAATCCGATTTACGCAATTTAGTTCGAGTGAAAATCAGGACTAAAATTCATAACATAATGTTATAAAGAGGTTTGTTTGTTTGCATTAAATAGGCACCCAAACTATAGGGCTGATTTCAAAATCATCTACTTTATACTCTTTTACTACTCTTTATACTTATAGATGACATAAAAAAGACAATAATTCATACACGGTCGCGGGAAAGCTGTTAGTATAATGCTTAGGAAATTTAAATTAAAAGTAACAATTAAATATTTTTCGTTCATAAAAGAATGTCTTGTTAGACGTTCTTTCCGTAAGCACACAATAGCTCAAAATATTTAATTATTTTCGATTAACAAATAAACATAACAGTTAAAACATATTATCTTATTTATTTTATTGCATGCTGTTCTCTCTGAATCTAGAACATGGAATGCCACAAATCATATTTGAAATAATTCAATAATTTATAATGTTAATTTCATCTCGTACTTTATTCGATGCTTAGAATATAGTGTACAGAATACATATATAAATAATATAATATAGATTTTTAAGCATTTTCAATAAGAATTTTTTTTAATATAGCGTTATGAACGCAAAATTGATTTAATATAATAATTATCGAAAGTTTAAATATTTGTAACAATATTTCTTTCGGCTGTTTGGGTGGATTGCCTGAACATTGATGAAAATACGCTATGTAGTGCGAAAAAGTAACAAGTGCTTGAAAAAATAGTCAGTCCTGTTAGGTCCTGGGTAAATTAATGGTTAGAGCAATCGCCTGGATGCAAAAGGTTATGGGTTCGGGTAAATCTCAGAGTGCCAAGCACATGTCGATCTTTAAGCTACCAGTGTTTATTTATTAAATAAAATAAGTATTATGTTGCGAGATCTACCATATTTCACGGTGCGACATCGTTCACCACAGATTGCAAAACATATTGTTTACACTAAATGTAGGTAACATTTAGTGTAAACACAATTTTTTATATTTTACTAGATGACCCGGTGTACTTCGTACATAATATTTTCTTACCGTTTCTTTAAACCTTCCCTGGACTACGACAAACATTTAAAAATTAGCTAAATCGGTCTAGCTATTCCCGAGTTTTAGCGAGACAAACGAACAACAATCGATTTTTATATTTATAATCTTTTTCATCTTCATCTAGGTACATGTATCTAGAATCGAATAGACACAGATGTATTCCTAGATAGTTAACATTCATTCATTATAATTTACTGATTCGTTCAATACATTATAATTATTATCTATTACAATCTAAGAAGAATTAATATGGTGGAGTCTATAGTTTCAATTTTATCAACGTTTGATTTCAAATCTAACAGGATCTCCGTAACTTAGTGGTTTGTACACCAGTTTCATGATGTTGCCATCTCTAAGGTTTTTAATAGGTTAATAGGTTACGGTTCGCTTCCCGGTCGAGTCAATATAAAAAAAGGACTTTTATATTGTCTTGGGTCTAGGTGTTGTGATATCTTCATTGTCTCAGATACTCCATAATAATACAAGAGCTTTAGCTACTCATCTTGGAATCTGAGCAACGTGTGATGTTGTTAATATTTATTTATTTAACTTCGTAAATGTTGCTTCTTCTCTATGGTTAATTATTCATAATCATCCAAACAAACATCTATGGAAGAATTCAGTTTGATACCAAATTTAAAATTCTGGCGTAAGATTTGGCGAATATTGCAAGGTAATAAAAAAAACTTATATATTTAAAAACTTATAACGTATTATTATCAAGCGTTATGGATTATTTTACTATATTTTCAAACTCTGAAACCTCAGAAAATACGTTATCTGCATTACAAAGATCGACGGATCATCTGTGGTTTGGTCTATAAACTTCTAGAAGTCGTTGGTTTCATCCAATCCAGTCAACGGTCCTTATTAACAATCAGACAAATTTAATCTCGCTTTTCTGTTCTCTAAATTATCTCTATATATATAAAATTCTCGTGTCGCAATTTTCGTTCCCGTACTCCTCCGAAACGGCTTGACCGATTCTCATGAAATTTTGTGAGCATATTGTGTAGGTCTGAGAATCGGCCAACATCTATTTTTCATACCACTTAGTGATAAGGGTTGTCTACCCTTAACATTTTTTGTCTACACTAGAAATTACTTAGAAATAATTTATATGGCAAAACAACGTTTGCCGGGTCAGCTAGTTAGATATTAAAATTTTCACTATCGTGCTGATTGCGGTTAATATTTATTTTCTTCTTGGACTAGTTTTGTTTGAAGTGCCACAATTTTATAATTCAGTTACTGTTACTGACCACTTTATAGCCCGTTAAAGCCAAGACTTAAGAAGTTTGTGTTGGAATTTCTTGGACCATTCCGCAACATAATGTGGCCCATATCTTTCACCGTTTTATATCCCCCGCCTTAGAAACTCTGGTTCCGTAGCGAATAGAAAATACACAAATAAATAACAGTTATTTGAAATTTGTAAGTTAAACTAAACTGAGTTATTGACGCTGAACAATTTTAATTACATATGGGATGATTTTAAAGACAATGTAAAACATAACAATATCATTATTCACATTAGAAATGCAAGGTTCCATAAAAATATGGATATATCGAGTTCGGTATATAATTTCAGTCGATATATGTATTACTTCGTAAAACCAATAACATTCGTATTTGTCGATATATTTAGGTCTTAAGTAATTTTTTTTTAACTTGTTTTTAAAATTTATTTTTATCATAAACTCTACCAATAATTTTTGACTGCAGCAACTTGGACAGCCTTTCCTGAAGCCTACTTCGTATAATGTATTTATGTATTTATTCTAAACAATCATATAGCAACAACTAAAAGTCATGAAGAAGGTTCTAATTTATTAGACCGCTTCTTGGAAAATCCTATAAGTAATACGTTCTTACCAACTAGGTGTGAAATCACGAAAACATGTAGTACCTAAACATTTATTAAATTTCGTGTCTCCTTAACTCTTTATTCGTTTCCTGATGGTTTCGTGTTTTTAGAATGAATAAGAATTTTAAAATGAAATATAAATGCTCATATTTCAAGATGAGTAGCTAAAATCCTCGTATTATGGAGAGAACGCCGGTACTACAACGACCAGACCCAAGATATAATGAAAAAGTCCATTTTCGACCGGACCGAATTGAACGCGGGACCTCATAAATGGCGACACCTTGAACTCACTCGGTTACGAGGTCGTTAAGTCCTAACATAATGGGATAGGCCTTCAGATGTCATTTTAATTCGTACGAGTAACTATCATTCATCATCAGCCATTAATGTCCCCACATAGAGATAGGGCTCAGGCCTTGCCTATAGATGGAATAGAATCAAATCGAATAGGTAGAATGGGCCATGAGCCACAACGCACAGTGCGGATTGGTAAGTGTTAACTACTGCAAATGGAGGCAGGAGTAAAGGTTTAACGTGCCTTAAATTTTTGGTCACCCATCCTAAGAACGGGCATTGCGAAAGTTGCTTAACAACCATATCGCAGACCGAAGCCCCTCTCTGTCATTCGTCATCCTTATTTACTAAACAATATTGTCTAAACCATCCTTATTATTCTTTATCTTATATCATTATTAAACCGCGACGCGTCAATGACACGTTTTTATTATTGATAGAGGAAGATATTAAATTAAAAGACTTCTTATTTTATATCTTAACGGTCTGATTGTTCCGCTTATTGGACAGATTTCAGGGTCAGACTTGATTCCTTTTATATTAGGTATTCAAGGTTAATGTTCAGCCCAGAAAGAAATTATTTACCTCTTGGTTGCATATATATTAAGTATTTAAATGATGTTATTAAATACAGGCTGTATGTTTATCATGCCTAGAATAAATGTAAGTAAAATTAAATACTTTCAGACTTTGTCATCATATCCGTGAACATTATCTGTGCATCAGGGGTCCTCGCTAAATCGCATCATACATAAATTATCGAAAAGTGGGTTTTGGTGCGTTAAAGTAACACTCCTTTCACGCACCAAAATCCACTATAACAATACCTATAATATATTAAACAGATATTCATTTGTTGTTTCCCATCAAAAACTCGGTAAAAATAGTTGGAAGTAACGTTTCTCATATGTTTCTCTTGTTTTAAACTTTTTTGCCGTTAACATTAGAATAATTGTTAATTGCCAGATTGATACCATCTAATCAGGGGCGTAGCTACCGCCGTATCTGCCGTATCAATTATATGAGGCCCCCGGGCGAGGGGGGTGCCCAACGTGTGTAAGCAAAAATTAATAGAATCTTCCCAAATTTCTTTTTATTTCAGAAATGACAATAGTAAAAAAAAGTAAAGCATCCTTTTTAAAATTGGCAATACATCGGATTTCGCGGACTCAGGGATTTCTCCGTTTAAGTCATTTATTTCAACGGGGGAATCTCACAATAATCGATGTACATACGATTAAAATTCGGACAGTTTATAATAATAATCATTTAATCAGACACTTAT